CTGGTAACTTTATATACATGAGAGTTCCTGTTGATGTGTGGTGTAGTCAAGGACTTGAAGCTCTGCAAGGTAATATGTCTGGCCATTAAGGCCACCATAGGGCCTTAAGTCAAGTTTCTATATGTGGATCCACTGAATGTGCTACCCAACCCTTGTGATGAATGGCACTGTTACACAACTGTTATTGAACCGAGACAGCAAATGGACAAATGTAAAATCAAATGCATAGCCATGTGCTGTGTATATCCCTGTACAATGGCACTGCATGTACTACTTCACTTCAGCTGAATGAAGACTTTCCACAGACTTTGAACTGGATGACAAAAATGACCTTAGACAAAAATGTCTCTTTGCTTCTGTAAGGCAATTTTCACAAGCCTAACACATCAGTAGTATTCTCGACACAATCTTTGTCCATTCCCAAAGCTCTATTTTGATGGCAGGCTGAACACACAGAAGTCTAATCCTGTTTTTTTTTTAAAATGCAAAATTGATATGTTTCATTAATTTTTGCAGAAGGGAGTAATAGCTGGGCAGGGCCACAGCATATGAGCTAGAGCTCCTCTTTGTTCATAGCATCTCTAGCATCTGTTGTGTGCCAGTATGTTTGGGCACTAGAATCTGTTCAGTGTCCAATACACCTGCAAGATGCTTTTTTTTTGTCCATATAATTGCAGTTATAGCTCCATGATGGAGTTCCTGGATTCTGATGTCTTTTTTCTTTTTTTGTCCCCTCACTAAACTGAAAGTATCGCTCATTGGCCAGAATCCTGCTGGTATCTTACATATGTGCAAGTTCCCAGATGGACTGGGCATTTTTTGTCCAATGTGGAATGTCTATATTCACTTCAAAGCTGTGGAAGTAAGGTTGTGCATGTGGTGCTATTATGCATGGATGTACATTATGCAAAGTTGTGCATTACTCACAGATGCACATGTACATTTGGTTGCGCATTTGGTTGTACATTTGGTGTCTTGCTTCAGTTGAGTAATGTTGCCATTCAACACAAAGTTAATGTAACATAATTAGGACATAACTCCACACGTGGAGATTTATATTGTGCATCTGCAACATGAGATCTCAGGTAGTGACTGCCAGCCTGTTAGGGACTTACATAATATATATAGTTGTACTTTTTTGGCCCTAAGGTAATGTCTGTATTCAATTGAATACAGAGACTACATGTGAAAGGGATCTAGGAGTCCTAGTAGACCACAAGTTGAACATGAGTCCATTTTTGGTGATGCGGCAGCTAAAAAGGCCAATGCAATTTTAGGCTGCATTAGTAGAAGTGTAGTATCTAGATCAAGGGAAATAATAGTGTCACTATATTCTGTGTTGGTCAGGCCACACCTGGAATACTGTGTCCAGTTCTGG